TCGAATCTACTTGTACATCCTCACACAAAACAAGTGCACGGCAACCCAGGAGCATTCCAACTACACGTATGGAATGTATCAAGGCGTGTTTAAACAAGAGAGATTACTCAGCCAGAGCGGTGAAAGCAGTCACGCTTGCTTTACGCAATTCTACACGCAACTTGTACGACGACAAGTGGCGCAGTTTTGAGACCTACGCTGCTAAAAAGGGATTTACAGCTAGAAATGCAACACATCCTCAAGTGGCAGACTATCTTTGTCACCTACGACAAACCAAGCGTCTGAAAGGGTCTACACTCTCAACATACCTAGCGGCATTGAGTTCAGTGATAACTATGAGGACGGGTGCAAAGCTAACCAAAGTACCAGAGTTACTGGCCTTGTTACGCTCTTTCCGATTGGAAGACCAAAAACAGAGATTTCACGCTCCGGCATGGGACCTCAATATTGTTCTCAAACATCTCACAAGTGACGTTTTCGAACCACAGGAGACGACATCCTTTGAATTCTTGACACAGAAAACGCTGTTCCTGCTAGCCCTAGCAACAGCAGCCAGGATGTCGGAAATTCATGCTCTAGATTACGAGAGAACGCAATTTGATGAAAATCAAAACACAGTGCATATGGGACTGCAATGGGATTTTATCGCTAAGAATCAACTGTCAGGTCAACCGGACAGACAATTCCACATCCCAGCACTATCCTCCATACTCGGACCACATGATACGCTTGACTTATCCTTGTGCCCAGTGAGAGCACTGAAAGTTTATCTACATCGATCCAGAATGAGGAGACGCAAGTTTAGACAACTTTTCGTCCCAATATCAACAGCGACACAGACGGAAGTCTCCCGAACTACGATATCAATCTGGATAAGAACTGTCATACTACGAGCCTACAAGGCTGCAGGACTCAATCCTCCAAGAGCCTCTAACCCTCACGAAATTAGAGCACTGGCATCAACACTCGCTCTACATGGGAATTGCTCGCTGAACACGATCATGGAGGTCTGTTTCTGGAAATCGGACATGGTGTTTGCAAACCACTACTTGAGAGATATCGCCACCGAGGACGTCTCAGGCATTCACCATTTCGGCCCTCTAGTTGTCGCACAGCAGTTGACAGTTCCCCACAGAAGAGAAGTCGTAGTCTCGCTCTTTTATTACATGACTGATCAAGCCTACACTCAGCAGAGTTTTGCTTCAGTATCAATGCACGTTTCAAGACTAGCATAAGTGATAAACCCAGTACTTGTAATCTTACTAGTACAGCTGGGTCGCTGCTCCACTTTGGAGTCGCTAAATCCACATGAAATGTTAACAGAAATAGGACCAAAAGTTAACTATTGTGGTCCCCCCATCTAAAGGCAGCTGAAAGAACACCTTTGCTTACAGCAGCAGAATTTAGCATAATTACAGTGCCATTATGAAGTTCCCGTAGTTTTTTTTTATTTTGACGTAAAATTCACTAATTAAATCCTAAAGTGCTTTTTCCCACCACCTTCTCCGTCGGATTCTACAAGCAATTAAGCATGAGTCAGGATAAGGAAAAATATGTAATTTTCTGAGTAAAATTGATATTTTATACTTATCCTGACTCATGAGGTAAGCCCTACCAACCTCCCCACAAGACACTTTGGATTTCCCTGTAAATTCAAGTGTCGGGCTCATATTCAAGAGAGAGTAAAGCATGTGGGGGAACAGTGGCGCCAGTTCCCGCCAAAACGGAAGGAGGGATAACCTTTGGTGAGTAGTGATTAGTGATTTTACATTGAAGGGAGCTTCAATAGGAGATACAAGTGTTCCACTATGTTCGCAAGAAGAAGAAGACAAGCAATTAAGCATGAGTCAGGATAAGTATAAAATATCAATTTTACTTTTGATTTTCATGTTGAATGGAAATTGATAGTATACCTTCTTTGAGTGGCATGTTTAGAAGTTGGAGAATCGGATATGGATGAACAAATTCTTTGTTCGGATGATGCAACGTTTCGATACAGATTCTTGTATCGTTGTCCAAGTCTTTATTTGCACTTAAGAGGTCACAGGCCTATAGCACATGTATACTGACTATATTGTTATTAGGCAGTAGAGAGTACATTTCTCCTGTGTAGAAAGGCATGGTATAGGAACATTGACAACTTTTCCTGGTGTTCCTTGCTAGAGTAGGTTAACAGAGATATAAATTTATAAATATTGTGATGTTCAAAATAATATTTCTTCGCTTCTCGGCCTTTTGGCTAAGATCAAAGTGTAGTATCTGTTCTTATCAGCTTATCGTTGTCATACTCGCCTGACAATGATACAAAAATCTGTATCGAAACGTCGCATCATCCGAATAAAGAAGTCCTTATCTGATAGTATACCTCATTAAATTGTAGTAGGTATATTTCATAACTTGGAAACAGTTAATCGGGAAAAGTCATTTTGGAAATAATATTTTGTTTTCTTTGATATGGAACAAGCGTACGGGCTTATTGCTTTTGACGTACTGTTAACCCTTTATAATTAGTGTACTGGTATCTTGAACTGATGTCTTCATAGTTTCAAATGAATGTTAGTTTTGATATTCATATAGAGTCTTTAGTCTTTATAGAGCATTTAGAATTGATACACATAAGGTGAGAATTTATGAATTCAACTTATGTATTTGAGGAACACGACGTCTCGGAGTACATTCTTACCTCTTCATCAGGTGAGGTGAGGTGAAATTGGGTTTTACATCGTGCTTGAGAATATTTCGCTCATATGACGATGTGTCGGTATGACGTCTTTTGGTATGACGCGGTCAGGGATCGAACCCGTGACCTTCCGCTCTCCGGGCGGACGCTCTTACCACTACACCACGGAGGCGGTCTTCATCAGGTGAATGATGAAGGAGGAAGAATATACTCTGAAACGTCATGTTCCTCACAGAAGTTGATATCCATAAATTCTCACCTTTAGGTTTGATATGTGTTGTATTGAAGCTAGTCTTTACCATTAAAGCTTCACGAATTTCTGAAATACCGACTTGAGTGTGTATTCTCTTGTCATGTTGATCACGGAATGATACTGTATGATAATATCTGTCTTTGTGTTTCTCTTCATAATAAGTCTGGGGGCGGTGGGGTAGCTTAGTGGTTACAGCTTTCTCGTCATGCTGAAGACCCGGGTTCGATTCCCCAAATACAATGTGTGAAGCCCAATTTTGGTGTTATTGCTGGAATATTGCTAAAAGTGGCCTTAAACTATACTCACTCACTCATAATCTATCTAACAAAAGGAAGGACACCAATGGTTTCACACAGTAAACTATGGTTATAAGGAAATCCAACCGACCAAACATTTTAGTTTGTTATAACCATAGTTTATTTAAAATGTTAATTAAATGCAGCAAACGGCTGAGACAAGAAAGTTTGTTCTATACGTCACATATTTATAAGCACGTTTGTTATAGACATAGTTTGTTTTACTACATTGTGAATGTGAACCACTAGCCAAGGGATGAGGTCATTTTCCTATCTCTGTCATATCAACTCCAAAATTCCTCTTGCAGCTTAAGGGACGGTTGGGTAGCCTACTGGTTAAAGCGTTCGCTCGTCACACCGAAGACCCGGGTTGGATTCCCAACATGGGTACAATGTGCGAAGCCCATTTCCGATGTCCCCCGTCGTGATATTGCTGGAAAAGTGCTAAACGCGGCGAAATACAATACTCACTCACTCACTCAAGCAGCTTAACATTATACTGACTGACTGAGTTTGGTTTACGCCGCTTTTAGCAATATTCCAGCAACATCACGGCGGGGAACACCAGAAATGGGCTTCACACATTGTACCCATGTGGGGATTCGAACCCTGGTCTTTGACTTGACGAGCCAACGCTTTAACCACTAGGCTACCCCACCGCCCCTTAAACATTATACTGCAGTAACAGTGAACATGTCTTGTAGGACAAAAGAACCAGAATAATGGGGCCTGCAACTGAAGAGCACTGCTTAAATATTATAAGCCTGAGTCTGAATCAGTGTGTTTTGACAGAGTATACAAGTGGGGCCATTATTTTCCTTCTGAAGACACAGGAATTTTGTTTTGTTCTATGGATTTTCTCGGCCATGAGGACAAGATGAAAATAATGTACCAACGCTCACTGCAGGTTTCTGGCAATTGGAAGGCATTTAGTAGTAAAAGCATTCACTTTACATATTGAAGGCTAGTGTTTCATTTCCTACATGGTTGATACTGCTGCTAATAGCTCTCCCACTCATTGCTGGTAAATATTTTCACATAGAAGGATATAAATAGTGCCAGCTGCAGACAAATCCCAAGAATCTTTGCTCCCAGTAATTATGTCTGAAGTTCTCTGGGAGCTTTGGCAGATGTGTGTTTAAAGTATATTTCTTTGCCTTAAAGATTTTTTTATGATGATTATTAAATTTTCTTACATAATGTAGCATTTGGGGCGGTGGGTTAGCCTAGTGGTTAAATTGTTTGCTTGTCATGTCAAAGTGTTGGTTCGATTTACCACATGGGTACAATGTGTGACTGACTGACTGGGTTTGGTTTTATGCCGCTTTTAGCAATATTCCAGCAACATCATGGCGGGGGACACCAGAAATGGGCTTCACACATTGTACCCATGTGGGGATTCGAACCCGGTTTTAGGCATGAAGAGCCAAAGCTTTAACCACTAGGCTACCCCACCGCCCCTACAATGTGTGAGGGGAGGTGGGGTAGTGTAGTTGTTAAAGCAATCGCCTGTCACGCTGAAGACCAGGTTTGATTCCTGACATGGTTACAATGTGTGAAGCCCGTTTCTGGTGTCTCCCACCGTGATATTGCAGGAATATTGCTAAAAGCAGCGTAAAACCCAACGCACTCACTCACTCAATGTGTGAACCCCCATTCTGTACCCCATTACCATATTGCTGGAATAGTGCTAACAGTGATGTAAAAGCCAACTAACTCTGTAATGTAGTGTTTCACCTATTTTGATTTTTTTTTTTCTGTCTATTTTCAGAGTGAAAAGTTTATCTGTGCAGTTTGCAAAATTAAGCGGAAATCCTGTATGCTGTACCCTTGTGGCCATTATTCCCTGTGTGAGGACTGTGCTAATCAGATGCTGCTAGGGAGGAGGGAGTGTCCGATATGTAAACAGCATGTCACGTCACACACTCGGGTGTACGAGTAAGGGAGTGTCCGATATGTAAACAGCATGTCACGTCACACACTCGGGTGTACGAGTGAGGGAGTGTCCGATATGTAAACAGCAGGTCACGTCACGTCACACACTCGGGTGTACGAGTGAGGGAGTGTCCGATATGTAAACAGCAGGTCACATCACACACTCGGGAGTACGAGTGAGGGAGTGTCCAATATGTAAACAGCAGGTCACATCACACACTCGGGTGTATGAGTGAGGGAATGTCTGGAATGTAAACAGCCTGTCACGTCACACACTCAAGTGTATGAGTGAGGGACAGTCCGATATGTAAACAGCAGGTCACATCACACACTCGGGTGTATGAGTGAGGGAGTCTCCGATATGTAAACAGCCTGTCGCGTCACACACTCTCTGAGTCACACACTCGTGTGTATGAGTGAGGGAGTCTCTGATATGTAAACAGCATGTCACATTACACACACAAGTGTATGAGTGAGGGAGTCTCTGATATGTAAACAGCATGTCACATCACACACTCGAGTGTATTAGTGAGGGAGTCTCCAATATGTAAACAGCATGTGACGTCACACACTCAGGGAGGGTTCGATATATAAGGTTTACTTCAAGGGGTTTTTATGCATCTGACTCGAAGAGGTAGATGTTTTATGTATGAAACAGTTTGTTGGATCAATTTGTGATGTTGACCAATGTGTGAGCACATGATAGGAAAGTACTGCAAGACTGAAGGATTGACAGCAGCCTTGAATCTATTTATGACTTTTAATTTATTTCATTCTGTAACAACTAGGATCAGACTAGATCTACCACATGGGCACAATGTGTGAGGGCCGGTGGGGTAGCCTAGTGGTTAAAGCGTTCTCTTGTCATGCCAAAGACCCGGATTTGATTCCCCACATGGGTACAATGTGTGAAGCCAATTTCTGGTGTCCCCTGCCGTGATATTGCTGGAATATTGCTAAAAGCGGTGTAATATTAAACTCACTCACTCACTCACTCACTACCTCACTCACTCACTCACTCACTCACTCACTCACTCACTCACTCACTCACTCACTCACTCACTCACTCACTCACTCACTCACTCACTCACTCACTCACTCTAGATCATCCCTGACCCAAACACACCAGTGTTTTCAGAGAGAACACAACCCTGTGAATATATACAATACTGCACCTGACACTATTGGAAAAACTAAAACTAAAAGCCGTTGTTGTTAACAAAGGTAGGATTATTGTATCCAAGGCTTGGTACACAAACATCAGGACATATATGCAGTAAAATCTAATGGCATACATATTTATGTTTATTGGCCAAAATTACAGTTTGGTTGTGGAATGTTTGATGAATGAAGACACTATTGGTATGTTAACTGTAGGTGTAACTTAATTATATTCTACAGAGGGAAGTATACATTTTATACAAGTAATGTTTTCTTAACACAGCTGATAAAACATTTCACTTAGATATTTCAAGAGTTTTCGATGTTGGCGGCTCCATGCAGACCCTGAGGTTGATCCAGAATGTCAGCTGGGTGTCAATCACAGGTGGAAAAGTCTTCCTCTTGACTTTGAGTTCTGTTCATAGATTATAATTATAAGATTATAAGAAGCAATTTACATCCTTAATCTGAACCTGGCAAGGATAGTGATGACGAGTCAGTAAAATTCTTTTACTTGAATGAAGGCATGGCAGCAATACTCTATTGGTTAGTTGGTTTGATGTTTAACGTCACACGCAGCAATATTCCAGCCGGACCAGTCTAGACCAGACAGTCCAGTGATCAACAGCACTAGCATCAATCTATGCAGTTGGGATATGATGACGTTTGTCAACCAAGTCAGCGAGCCTGACCACCCGATCCCATTTGTATTACGACAAGCATGGGTTGGTGAAGACCACTTCTCATCCAGATCTTCATGGATAGCAATACTTATATATACAAAGTGGTGTATAACTCATCGTATGGCTCAGAGGGTAATATTGTGTGATGTGAATGCATAAGTGAGTGTATATTGCTGAAAGCTGCATCAGTTGATCTTGAGGTTTACAGAATTACATTATCATGTCTAATGGTGGTTTTGAGGAGCAGCAGTTACTCATGGCCCCACAAATCACCGTGCCATTTCAGTATTGCATGAATATATGATTGTGGGTTCAAATCCGAGCTTCACGATATTAATTTTTGCTAGGTTTGTCAGCACAGTAGTCATGAATTAGTCTTCTCTCCCACATCAAGTGGACACACTGATGTCACTAAAATAATGTTGAAAGTGGCATTAAACTAATTTCACTCACTCACTCACTCACTCACCCACTCACACTTTGACGACTTCATTTGTTGATAAAACATTATTGTCTTATTGTGAACATAAGTTTACATATGTACTTTCTGAGGGATCTTTTTTCAGTTTGTTAACTGACCTTTTTAAAAATATTTTTGATTTGTTTCTCATGTCTTTGATTGTTTGAAATGATACTGGCTGTGAAAGAATATTCCTTGTACATGTTAGACAGATTTATATGTTTAACTACAAGGATTGGCAATAATGCACACACATATACAAAATACGGAATGGCATCTTACATGCATTCCACTCAGATGTATTGTTTTGATATTCACGCATAGGAATATTTTATATTTGATATACATTCCTTTATTGTTGAATGAAATTTTTGTAATGCATAAAATGTGTTTGTCATTTGTTCAAGATATTATTTCTTCAGGTCTGTTTCCCCATTAATGTTGTCAGTAGAAAAAACACAATGCCATTCAGGATTAATAATGAAGCGAAGACTTATGTTGGTTGTTTAACTGCACTCTCAGCAATATTCCAGCTATATGGCTGTGGTCTGTAAATATTCGAAGTCTGGACCAGACAATCCAGTGATTAACAGCATGAGCAATTTGGATACTGATGACATGCGTCAACCAAGTCAGCTGAGCCTGACCCCCAGATCCGTTATTAAGCCTCCAATGACCAGCATGGGTTGCTGAAGACCAATTCTAACCCGGATCTTCAAGGGTCAAAGACTTTATGAAAACTGAGCCATTTATGAAGTCAAAAGGGACCAAACAAGTAACATGTTTTGTTGAGGATTACTCTTTCTTTGTTAAGGAAAGAGAAAAGTTCACTGAAATATACTGGTTTAGTGACTGGTATGATTTAATGAAAGGCTTTTACAGAAACAGAACGCGCATCTGTCCCTTGTGCTTGCTGGTATTAGTATTGAAATATTTCCTTGAAACTGAAGTTGCTCTTTCTTCAGTAATAAACTGTTTTGTGCCATTTTCAGTAGAGAGTTTATCAGTCTATATTTAAAGCAACTGTCAGACTGAAACATCGGTTTCTTTCTGAAGTGAGTTAGTGAGCCAGGGTTTAGACCACTTTTAGCAATATTCCAACATTATCACTGTTGGGGACACCAGAAATGGGCTTCACACAATGTATCCATTTGGAGATGAACCCAGGTCTTCAATGTGACGAGCGATTGCTTTAACCACTAAGCTACCCCACCACCTTTTGGTGCTGGAATCCAATACCTGTCAGGAAATACTGGATGTCTGTTAATAGCCAAGACTAAGTCCACATAGGTTACTGCTGGAGTGAGTGCCTGCCCTCAAAGCGAAGGTCAGTGGTTCAGTCACAGGTTGCTCCAGATGTAAAAGGTGCTAATTGATGTTGCCCTTCCTTATGCACTTCCCCACACATTTCAACCCAATCCAACCCAATCTGATATGAAAGCACATCACCATAATATTTTCTCAATATGGTATGGAGTATTCTCCAATATGGCACATGAGGGCCGGGTGATGTAAGGTGCCACAGTTGGTTGTACAGAACTGCGTCTCTGGCACACCAGTTCTAGGTCTGTCAGCATCATATCCATGCTGGTGAGCTTCACCAAAGTAGTAAATGTCTGAGACCTGTATTACCGGGTTTCCTCTCCCTATTAAACAGACCTACCATGATATCACAGGAATACTGTTCAGAGTGTGTTGTGTTAGTTTACGCCGTTTTAGCAATATTCTAGCAATATCACGGCGGGGGACACCACAAATAGGCTTCACACATTGTTCCCTTGTGGGGAATTGAACCCGGGTCTTTGGCGTGACGAGCGGATGCTTTAACCACTAGGCAACCCTACCGCTTGAATACTGTTCAGAGCTGCATTAAACCAAACTCACTTGCTTCAGAGATGGTCTGATCAGAACTGATTACATTAGTGGCCTTAAAACCCAACTCATGCTCACTTTGATTAGTCTGTCCAATGCTTGCTGACTTGTTTGTTTACTGACGATCTAAAATATGTATGGTGTGAAAAGTAAAATAGGTATTTAGGAACAATTTTGCTAATTTTGTTTTAACTTTGGCCCACTAGAGGCCAGTATCCATGCCTACAGAACCAGTCTTACTTTTTGTAGTCCCATGTTGAACACAGACAAGACCTGCCAATATTGCCGACAGTCGGCCGAGCATTTACGTGTATCCTTGTATCTATTTTTGGGTGCCAGTTGACAAAGTGATTACGCATCTTGAGTGAATGGCGGTTTATTAATGCATGAGGTTTGGGGCTTATGTTTGCAGATCAATAGAACAATGTGACGCCTCCAGCTCCCAAACCAAGAAAGTGGACAAGTTGCCAACTGAGTTGTGTATACATAATGGCACTTCACCCTTTTCACTGGTTGGGTTCTCAAGGGAGACAAGAATGCTTAGATAATCAGCTCGATGTTCAAGGTCGCTTATATATTTAATAGTTTTCATCAGAATTGGTATCCATAATTTTGTCTAAAAATCAGGATTCTATTTTATGAAACAGTCCAGTTCTTAGCTCACCTTACCTGAAGGTGACCATATTCCATTGTGTGTTATAGCTTATCAGTTCTTTCTTTGCATCAGTTACCATTATACTTCAAATACTTCTTATTTAAACCAAAATTATTATTCAAACCATCATCATATTTAGATAATATGTTCTATGCTGTAAGAATATCAGACAGAGAGAATTGGTCTTCAACAACCAATGATTGTCTTGCAAGTATAGAGTTTAGTTTTATGCCGCTTTTAGCAATATACCAGCAATATTACAGCACTGGACACCAGAAATGGGCTTCACACATTGTACCCATGTGGGGAATTGAACCCAGGCCCTTGGCGTGATCAGCGAATGCTTTAACCACAAGGCTACCCCACTGCACCTGTCTTGCAAGTAATGACTGACTGACTGACTGACTGACTGAGTTTGGTTGTACGCCTCCTTTAGCAATATTCCAGCAACATCACGGTGGGGGACACCAGAAATGGGCTTCACACATTGTACCCATGTGGGGATTCGAACCCGGGTCTTTGGCGTGACGAGCCAACGCTTTAACCACTAGGCTATCCCTGCAAGTAATGAGATAAGCTGGTCAGACTTTGACTTGGTTGATGCATGTGATTATGTACAGAGTGTGTAGATTGATGTTCATGATGTCTGTAACTTGTCTTGTCCATTGAAACACATCCATTGCTAGACAATGTGGCAGTGAACAAACAATAAAATAGAAGCAGAATGTGAATTTCATTACAAAATATACAAAGGGACATTTTATTTTGAACTTCAAACTTTACTTTCTGTAACTATCTGACAACTTGTAGGGTGCAAGTCCCAGTATAAAAGAACAATTTTCATTTTAAAACTTCAGAATGGACGACCAAGGTGTCAGTCTGAAACTGGGATTGGAAGTAGGCCAAATATTTAATGAAGCACTCATAATATGTTGAACTATGGACATGGTATATGGGTTATGAAGGTTCAGTTGATGGACTGCCGCTGACAAAACACTTTAACCCTGGGTGAATTATGGACCATAACACATACCTCGCACTTCACTCTTTTCCTCA